AGGGGCAATCTCTAGGGAGCCAGGCTGAAATTTTTTTGAAGAGTTTAAAAAAAAAAAAAAATCAATAGCCTAAGGTTTCACCTCAAGAAGCTGGAAAAAGAAGAACAAAGTAAACCCAAAGTAAGTAAAGGGAAGGAAATAATAAAACAGCAGAAATCAACAAAACAGAAAACAGCAAACAATACAGAAAAATTAACTAAGCCAAAAGCTGGCTTTTTGAAAAGATCAGCAACATTGGTAACCTCCAGCTAAAGTGATCAAGGAAAAAAGAGAACACAAATCACCATCAGGAATGAAAAGGAGTTATCACTATAGACTCTGTAAACAGTAAAAGGATAATAAAAAACAGGTACAGTTTGAAATTATAAGAAGCCTTTCTGAAAATTCAGCACTGAATAATCACCCCAAAAGAACTGTGTCCGCAACTCTACTATTTATCTGTTCAGTACCATCAAAAGCTATGCTTTTAAAAGTATGATTTAATATAAGCACACTCATACTTTAGACTGAGGCATAGCCGAGTATCTTTCCTCATCCCACCAAATCATCCTGAACCAGTTTTTAAAGTGGGAGATGAGGAATTTATATACTACCTAGATTTGAGCTAGCTTTACTAAACAGTTGTTAGGTTTCTCTCTCTCTTCTAAAGTGCCTTTAGCAATTTCTGCTTTTTAAAAATTTCTTGTAGTATTCATATATGCTCCAATCTCCAGCTCTCAAAATAAATGAAAAGGTGATTTTTAAAAGCCATTTCTATAAAAATTACAGGCAGAGAAATAATGTTCTATAATGTATTTAATGACAATCGAGAGACAATATCCAAGTATTGAGAATATGACTAGAAGGTTCTCCTAACACTGGAAATATTGTTGAGTTCTTTCCCTCATTTAACAAAATTACATTAGAAATACAAAAATCCTAAATATGAATCAGTTGTTCGGATTTGACCACTAAAGGTGATTTCTTACTTGACTACATAAGAATAATTCTCCAACAGTGAGGCTACGTGGCATTCTCCATGGCATCAAGTCCCTCACTGGCCACGTACTGTCTCATCTAAACAGCCAGAATGGGAAGAATGCTAACTGTATGCCTTGTACGGCTTATAACTATCTTGCCATCCTATCGCCACCAGGGACCCCCATCTTCATAGGAGCAGCAAACACTGTGCAATAGGAATCAAACCAAATGGCACTTTGTGGAAGGATTTTAATGATTAGAATAATAAGGTTTCCCCAAAAAAAGAGAACTTATATATTCAAGACGTCAAAAATGGCTTTAGAAAAATATTGATCAGACTTAATATTATCAAAAGAAAAAGACAGGTGTCAGTTAAAAAGCAACTCCTCAAATGTAAATAAAAAATAACTTGTAACGGAGCCAAAGATGACATTATGAACTGTACATAAATAGGCATTTAACGATTTTTCCAATGTTACATTATTGATCTAACAGACCCTCTGTTTCTGCTGAAATGAATAAATAATTTGTGTAAGATAACATAAATAGGATTTGCAGCACATTAGATACCCTGGGTCCCTCTCATCATTAGAATTACCACTATAAAAAAGAAATTTTACACTGCCTTTCAACGAAACATCTGCATAATTTTAGAAAACACAGTGAAAGACTGAGACATTAGACAAATCCATCACATGCCAAAAGGCATTTCTAACTCATAACACCATGAATATCATTTACTCAATTAGAAAAATATTTCACATATATTTTCTAATGTCAGACACTGTACTTCTGGGTGCTGAAAACACAATGGTAAACGAGAGATGTGGTCCCTGCCCTCAAAGAGTTTACAGTCTATCTAGGAAGACAATCAAACAGGCTATGTAAGTAAAGGATGCTGGGCAAGCACAGAGAACGGGATCTGATCCCCTACAACGGAAGCCAGAGAAGACAACCAGATGAACTGATGCGTAAGTTGCGATGAGAAGGGAAGTAAGACATAGGCAAACTCTGGAGGGAGGGGATAGTTGAGTAAAATAAAAGATGGCTTCTGGCAAACGAAATACTATGGTCATAGGCTCAGCATGTGCAAATGGTCAGATTTTCTTCTGTGGAAGAAAAGAAACTATAGTGGAAAATTAACCTTTACTGGCAAAGTGCATATATCAAAGCACAAGAGTCCTCTATTCCTAGAAAAAGGAAGACTGAAGAAGAATTGACACCTTTGAACTATGGTGTTGGCAAAGAATATTGAATATACCATGGACTGCCGGAAGAATGAACAAATCTGTCTTGGAAGAAGTATAGCTAGAATTTTCTTTAGAAGTGAGGATGGCAAGACTTTGTCTCTCTTACTTTGGACACATTATCAGGAGGGATCAATCCCCGGAGAAAGACAAACGTGATGCTTGGTAAAGTAGAGAGTCAGCAAAAAAGAGGAAGACCCTCAACGAGATGGACTGACACAGTGGCTGCAACAATGGGCTCAAGCATAGTAATGACTGTGAGGATGGTGCAGGACCAGGCAGTGTTTCGTTCTGTTTGACATAGCATCGCGTAAGTCAAAACCAGCTAGGCGGCACCTAATCATATTACAACATCTACTTCTTAATTTAGGAGAAAAAAGGTAAAAAGGCCACAATTTCATCTTGGCCTATTCTCCACGTTACCCACTCATACACACATTTATTTACTCATGCACAATGTGTACCAGGCATTAGAGAAAGGCTCAATGGTGGATGAAAAGAACCCACTGTTGCCCTCAGGGAGGCAACACAAAGGAGCAAGCAATCAAATACAATGGAGTGTTTCTGTGGGTACATATGATTCTGAAAAGTAGCTCCCTGCTTCCAGTTATCACTGGACAAAATAATACTTAGCTTAAAAGCTACTGTTTGACAAATCTTTCAATAAGAAGTAAAGGAGAAATCATTATTTGACATCAAACATGGTATAAAAAACATTAAAAGAAACTTTGACATCCCATATACACAAAAAGGAATTACCCTTGTATTTTCAAACAACCACTAACCAGTACTTTGTAGGCTTCAAAGCCCTTTTACATTCTCATTTTTACTGCTCAGAGCAGGGAGGCAAAGCAGCTATTTTAATAATTACCTACCATTTGTCAAGCACTGATTGTGGAGTGCCGGGCTCTTTGCTGGGAACTTAATATCCATGATCTCATTTCATTCTCCCAACAATCCTGCAAAGTAACTATTACCATCTCCACCTCACAAACGAAGAACCTGCGGCTTAGAGAGTTTACGTAACCTACCCAAATACACGTGGCTGACAAATGGTGGAGCCAAAGTTAGTCCCCACGGGAGTCTGATGTTAAAGCCTGTGCGTTTCCTTCCTTCCCTCTGCAATGCTTCAGTGTTACCCCAGCACAGCTATCGAGGGAGCTGAAGAGGGGACACTGAGCAGTAACTTACTCTACCTCACACTGGGTAAGCAGAGGAAGCAGGACTAGAGTACAGGTCGGGAGTTCTAGTTCAGGGTTCTTTCAGCCACACCGAAGCAACTGATGCTATCTTTAGCTCTCTAGTAATTCGATCTCATTGGATTCTATCCAAACCGTCTTTCTAAGGATTGTGGAGGAATGGACTACTTCAACAGAAACAAATCTAAGAAAAAGTGAAAAATTTAGCAAGCATCATCATCACACACTGCATCCAACACTATTCCTGGTGTTATGTTTTCCTGAAGTACATTTCACATTGAAATCTACTATCAAATTAACAATAAAAATTCAAAGCTATACCAACCTTCATTATACACAATGTCATATAGTCCTCACAACCCTAAAAGCTCAATACTACTATCTCCAGTTTACAGAGATAATCAGATGCTTAAAAAGGTTAATTAACTTGCTCAAGGTCACACAACTATAAGCAGGACTGCAGTATGATTCCAGACCCAATGTTTTTAAACTCTACAACATAGCCTGTATTCCTGCGTGGTCATATAATTAGCCAGAAATACTGAAATTTTCTGATCTGCATTTGTATGTATTTGTAGAAGTTTTCAGATATATGGTAAAACCTATGAAAGCTGGAACCTGTGTAAGGCAGAAGTCTGTCAGAGAAGAAAAACTCAAATATTTTCCACTAACAGAGAGCAATAGAAAAGTATAAGACTGTACCCTGTCAAAGGTGGAAAACTTGCAAGACCTGGCAAGACAATGCAGTCCCATTGTCTCTCATAGGTTTCACTGTAATTAGTCATACAGTTACATTATCCGAATTACACAGTTTTAGTGTATGGTACTTTGTCAATTAAAAAAAATTAATCAGACACATTACTTAAAATTTTCACACCTTTTGCATGATTAAGCATCAGGGTACTTAAAATTTATCTGAATACATAGCTTAACAATTCATTTCCATCAATATTTTATTCATTAACTTTTCATCCAAAGAAAATAGAACGTTTTGTGATGGTTAGTATCAAAATTATTTAAAGTCCAACAAGGGATATGGTATTCCTTCTTTTGACAACGCTATTTTTAAAAGCAAAAAACTATCTTTCAGCTTATGTGTCTGTAAAACAAGTCTCTGAAACAAGTTTAATGGAGTGCATAAACGACAACAAGCTACAAATAAACAGGAGAAGGACACAGATGAACAGGTCAGTGTAGGTATTTTTGGTGACTTCTATTCCTCTCAATCTGCTACTTCTAATTCTCAGAATAAAAGCTAAAACTTGGCCAATTTGCAACTCATTTGAGAACCTGGCCAATCTGCAACTCATTTTAGAAAAAGGGCAATGGAAAAAGGAATGAAACAGAGGTAAGAGAAAAAAATATATATGCAGTATATCTCTAACGAACCAATAAATTTCTCTTATTTTCTTCATCTACACATGATAGTAATTGTTTATTTCTTTTACTTTAAGGACAAGCTAAAAACAAAACAAAAAAAAACAGGAAGCAATGCTTGTGAATCAACTGATAGAATCCACAGCTTTTAGACTTAGAGGGAAGGATCAAGCTTCCATTTTAGTTACTATGAAAAATAAATGTTTAAAACACTTACCAATTTGTACTTGTTCAGGCTGGCTGAGAGAAACAAACGCTGATGTGTCATCAATCCAGGATATCTGAATGTTACCTGGAATATTGAATCAAATCCAAAGTGAATATCTGACCATTTAGATAGCTATCAGATTTAATTTGTATCTCTGACACATTATCACTCTAAGCTATAATATAAAGAGAGATGAAGTATTGGTTTAAAATCTGATCAGGATCTCAGCACTACACAGAGTTAGTCTATTAAAACTTAAATCTACCATAGCAGTTATTTAGCTCAAAACTTCAAGAAGAGACAAACTGGGGTGGGTGTGGGGGGTAAAAGGAGGGAAAAAACCCGTTGTTGTCAAGTCAATTCTGACTCATAGCAACCCTACAGGACAGAGAACTGCCTCAAAGGGTTTCCAAGGAAGTAATCTTTACAAAAGCAGACTGCCACATCTTTCTCCCACAGAGTGGCTAGTGGGTTCAAACCGACGACCTTTTCGGTTAGCTGAGTGCTTTAACCACTGTCCCACCAGGGCTCCTAAAAGGGGGAAAAGCTATTAGTAACTTGTTTTAAAAACAAAAGAATAAATTGATGTATGTTTTGCTGTGTATATTCTCAACAACAACAACAAAATAAAATTTAAAAACAAAAGAAAAACACTTTCCTGATTAAATCCTGGGGCATTTCATCATTCAGCCCAATCTTATGACAGGGCTGGAGAATTTTTTTTCTGTCAAGGTTACTAACAAAAATCAGAGGCCATATAAGTTCAAACACACAACTATTTTCTTCCCAGAGACCCAAACATTTAAAATTAAGAATGGAGAACATGAAACAAGTCAACACATATAGCAAGTAATAAAACTCAATTCTGGTATCAAAGCCAGGTAAAGGAAACAGGTGTAGAATGGAGAACAAGAAAAAGATGCCAGAGAAAGAAAACCTAGAAAGACAAATAGATAAAAGAAAAAGAGGCAAAAAGCAGTATCCAACTGCCGTTGAGTCAATTTTGACTCATAGTGACCCTACAGGACAATAGAATTGCCCCATAGGGTTTCCAAGGCTGTAATTTCGTGGCTTAATATCAGAAAAGGTGTGCATCAGGGTTGTATCCTTTCACCATATGTCATGGATTGAATTGTGTCCCCCAAAACTATGTGTCAACTTGGTTAGGCCATGATTCCCAGTATTGTGTGGTTGTCCTTCGTTTTGTGATTGTAATTTTATGTTAAAGAGGATTACGATAGGATTGTTAACACCCTTATAAGGTTACATCCCTGATCCAATGTAAAAGGAGTTTCCCTGGGGTGTGGCCTGCACCACCTTTTATCTTACAAGAGATAAAAGGAAAAGGAAGCAAGCAGAGAGTGGCGAACCTCATACCACCAAGAAAGCAGTGCAGGAAGCAGAGCACGTCCTGTGGACCCGGGGTTCCTGCAGAGAAGCTCCTAGTCCAGGGGAACACTGATGAAAAGGACCTTTCTCCAGAGCCAACAGAGAGAGAAAGCCTTCCCCTGGAGCTGACGCCCTGAATCTGGACTTCTAGCCTTCTTTACTGTGAGGAAATAAATTTCTCTTTGTTGAAGTCATCCACCTGTGGTATTTCTGTTATAGCAGTACTAGATGACTAAAACACCATACTTATTCAAACTGTATGCTGAGCAAATAATCCAAGAAGCTGGACTATACGAAGAAGAATGGGGTATCAGGATTGCAGGAAGACTCATTAAGAACCTGTGATATGCAGATGACACAACCTCGCTTACTGAAAGTGAAGAGGACTTGAAGCACTTATTGATGAAGATCAAAGACAACAGCCTTCAGTATGGATTACACCTCAACAAAAAGAAAACAAAAATCCTCATATCTGGACTAATAAGCAAATCATGATAAACGGAGAAAAGACTGAAGTTGTCCAGGATTTCTTTTTACTTGGATCCACAATCAACGCCCATGAAAGGAGCAGTCAAGAAATCAAACAACATACTGCATCGTGCATATCTGCTGCAAAAGACTTCTTTAAAGTGTTAAAAAGCAAAGATGTCACTTTGAGGACTAAGGTGTGCTGACTCAAGTCATGGTATTTTCAATTGCCTCATATGAATGTAAAAGCTGGGCAATAAATAAGGAAGACCAAAGTAGAGTTGATGTCTTTGAATTATGCTGTTGGTGAAGAATATTGAATATACACCATGGGCTGTCAGAAAAATGAACAGGCCTGTCTTGAAAGACATACAGCCAGAACGTTCCTTAGAAGTGAGGATGGCAAGACTTCGTCTCACATACTTTGGACATGCTATCAGGAGGGACCAGTCTCTGGAGAAGGACATCATGGTTGGTAAAGTAGAGGGTCAGAGAAAAACAGGAAGACCCTCAATGAAATGGACTGACACAGTGGCTGCAACAATGGGCTCAAGTGTAGCAATGATTGAGAGGATGGCACAGGACCGAGCAGTGTTTCGTTCTGTTGTACGCAGGGTCACTATGAGCCGGAACCAACTCAACGGCACCTAACAACAACAACAACAACAATCTTTACAGAAGTGACTGCCACATCTTTCTCTTGCAGAACAGCTGGTGGGTTCGAACCTTCAACCTTTCAGTTAGCAGCCAAGCGTTTAACCACTGAGCCACCAAGGCTTCTCAAATAGCAGTACGGTAAAAAAAAAAAAATGATATCACATACAGAGAGACAAAAACCTGATAAAAGCTAAACACAAACAGAACAAAATGGAAGAGAGAGTACTGAGAAGGAAGGAGGGCAGAAGGAGAGGGAAGGAGTGGGGTGGGAAGTTGGGGAAAACCAAGGAGAAAGCAGAGAATTATTCTGCTATCACTTTTCTTGGGAAAAAAAAAATACAGAGCATGGGATTAAAAAGAAAATAGATAAACAATACTAGAATTTATCATTGAAAAATATTTTAATTCCTACTAAAGTTTTCAAAAGCCAGAAATTCCTGAAAATGGCTTTGTTTCACCATCAAAGGATAAAACTCTAACCTCCCGGTGCACAGTAAAACATCAAGTTAATAAGAAAGTCACGTAGGGAAAATTTGGGCAATGGATATTGGCAATGGTTTCACAACATGATGGATGTAACTAGTGTAACTGAATTATATACACGAAAAATGGTGAATTGGCAAATGTTGTTTGTTTATATATATATTTACAACAACAACCAAAAAAGTCACTAATATTTGGCTGGAATCCCTGGGTGGCATCAACGGTTAAGCACTCGACTAAGAGCTGAAAGGTTGGCAGTTTTAATCTACCCAGAGGTGCTTTGGAAGACAAGCCTGGCAATCTGTGTCTAAAAGGTCACAGCCGCGAAAACCCTATAGAACAGTTCTACACTACACACGTGGTCACCATGAGTCAGTATCAACTCTGACAGCAACAACATTATCTGGTTATCTCTCCAACCTGTAGATGTGGTTTTTTTTTTAGATAAATAACAATAACCCATTGCCACTGGGTCGATTCCGACTCACAGCAACCCTACAGGACAGAACAGAACTGCCCCACAGAGATTCCAAGGAGTGGCTGGTGGATTCGAACTGCTGACTTTTTGGTTAGCAGCCGAGCTCTTAACCACTGAACCACCAGGGCTCCGTAAATAATAATAGCTAACTTTTTATTGAGTAGCTACCATATGCCACACTGTTCTAAATGCCTTCTGACATTTAATCCTCATGACAAGCCAATGAAATAGGTATTGTTTTTATTATTATCTCTGATGAGGAAATGAAGAGAGGTTCCCTGCCCAAGTCACAGAGTTAATTTTCTTTGTAATTAAACTGAAAAAAATTTTACCCTGAGCATTTTACTTAATTTAGCCAATTAAAGTCTGACTACATATGGATAAGAGGCTTAACAATACAAGATGAGAAACAGCAACAACAAAAGCTTCCGCAAGAAAGGAGTCTTGACATTCAAAGGCATTTCTATAGATGTATTTAAATTAAAAAGCAGGACTAGGATTTCAGAAGCCACCTAGACTCTCTGCAAAGATTAGGATAACTTTCTAGAAATATACCTGTCTTCATTTCCTTTTCTAAAAATTAGATGTGTAAAGTTTTTCAATTAAAAAAGTTAATACATGCTCATTTGAGAAAATACAGAAAAGCTGAAAGAAGAAGAAAAAAATCCTATCCAAGACATTCAGTGGTAAAAGGATGATCACTTCCTTCCAGTCTAATTTCTATACGTTTAAAAAAAAAAAAAAAGAAAAAACCATTGCCATGGATCGGACTCTGACTCATAGCAACTCTACAGGACAGAGGAGAACTGCCCCACAGGGTTTCCAAGGCTGTAATCTTTACGGTAGCAGACCACCACATCTTTCTCCCGAGGAGTGGCAGATGGGTTTGAGCCACTGAGCTTTCAGTCAGCAGCTGAGCACTTAACCACTGAGCCACCAGGGCTCCTTATTTCTATACACAGTATAGTTAAACAGGAATCTTACCTTATATCTGCTTTTCACTCTACATGTTAAAGTGTAAGTACTTTATCATCTTTTACAAACTCTTCCAATATTTTCAGAATGGCTACATACTAGTCCATTGAGGACATACATTATTAAATATCCTTATTATTGGAAATTAAGGTTTTCTGCTGCCTTCACTTTATCCAAGAATTTCCAAAGGGAACATTTTAAAAACTTCATTGTTAAAATAAGGAGGCATCATGTGGGCTTATAATGAGAATGGTCTTTATAAAGCCTAAATGGAAGACTAATTAATTTAACCTAATCACCTGACCTGATAAAAAGGAAGAACTGCCCTACCTCTCATGTATCACAGACAGTGGCAAACTCAAACACTTGTGTTCTGCCGGCTTTGATGATCTAATATCAAGCAGAGACCAGTCGCCCTTATGAAACAAACATTTTCTGTGAATTTAATCTTAAAAATGATTTATCATCAGCCTAGACTTAATATCCCTGGTCAGCAGTAAAAGCAGTGATAGTAATTATATCTTAATTTCCATGGCTTAATAGCAGCCTATTGTCAGGTGTTATTAAAAGTTCCTCAGATTATCTAGTACAAAGATAACACTATACTAAACAAACCAATAAAAATTCCTTAAGTGAGATTAAAACCTTGCATCTCTCAGATCACCTAGGACAAAAGCAAAACCCTAAAAGTACACCTGTACTGTGATTTACTTACCAAAGGCACTGAAAAGCTGGTAAAGGTCACTGGTTTTCCATTCTTTGGGGAAGGTCACGTGGAGAACGTGATCGCGCTTAGGTTGCACTGTAAGACAAATTTTTGATGAAAAGTTTATAGCTGAAAACGGTATGTGGGTTGAACTGTGTCCACCAAAAAGGCATATACGTTCAAGTTCTAACCCCTGGTAGCTGTGAATGTGACCTTATTTGGAAAGAGGGTCTTAACAGATGCATCAAATTAAGATGAGGTCATACTAGATTAGGGTGGCGCTAATCCAGTGATCGGTGTCCTTATATAAAAAGAGGAATATTTGAAGACCCACAGAAACACAAAAAGGGAGAGAATACCATGTGAAGAGGAGGCAAAGATGGGGTGATGCATCTATAAGCCAAAGAAGACCAAAGACTGCTGATAACTGCCAGAATCCAGAAGAAAGGCATGGAACAGACTCCCTCAGAGCCTCCAGAACTGTGAGAAAAGAAATGTCTGTTCTTTACAGCCACCCAGTTTGTGATACTTTGTTATGGTAGTCGAGGGAAATGAATACAGACTTGGGTACCAGAAAGTGGGGTGCTGCTGTAACAAATACCTAAAAATGTGGAAGTGGCTTTAGAACTGGGTAGTGGGTAGAGGCTGGAATAATTTCAAGGCACATTATAGAAAAAGTCTAGATGGTTTGAACAGAATACTGCTAGAAATATGAATGTTAAAGATGATTCTGGTGAGGTCTCAGACAGAAATGAGGAACATGTTTTTGGAAAGTGGGGGAAAGTGATCCTTTACGTAAGCGGCAAAGAACCTGGTCGAATTTTTTTTTTCTGTTGTTGTGTGGAAAGCAGAATTTGTAAGCAGTGAGCTGAGAAGATTTCCAAGCTAAGTGTGGGAGGTGTGGCTTAATTTCTCCTTGCTGTTTATAGAGGAAAGAGATAAACTGAGGAAGGAACTACTAATAAACCAGAACTTGAAGATAAGGAAAATTCCCAGCCTATGTGTACTGCAGATGAGAAAGCACGCTCTGCAAAGAACACTAAGGGTGTGGCTGGACAAAGTCGGCTGGAGAGATTAGGCTTTGATGCATGGATCCAATCAACCATCTCAGCAGAAACACTGCGAGCCTGGAGTGAAGGAGCACAGACCCCTTACCATCCAGTCGATTCTGACTCATAGCGACCCTACAGGATAGAGTAGAACTGCTCCATAGAGTCTGCAAGGCTGTAATCTTTATGGAAGCAGACTGTCACATCTTTCTCCCGAAGAGCCGCTGGCTGGTGGGTTCAAAGTGCTGATCTTTCAGTTAGCAGCCAAGTGCTTAACCACTGTACCACCAGGGCTCCTTGAAGGGGGTAGAGATGGGACGAAATGAAGGAAGGCTGTTGGACTTCTGAGATTCTACAGGCGGGAAATGGGCTGACAGAACTACTTAGCTGCAAGCATGTATTATTCTTCAAGAAAAGGAACGAATGATTCCAAGGGTAGCTCAGAGGCTAGTGGGACTGCTGTTGTCACCACAGGCCCAGAGGGAGTGGCTTCAAGGGTAGGGCCACCGCCTCCTCACTTTGAGAACAGGGCTACCTCCTCAGTTACAGTAGCCCTAGGAAATTAATGCAGTGATCAAGTAAACCAGTGATTCTTTGATGAAATTAAGCCCAAGCTAACAGGATGCTCTGTTCAGTTAACTTTGTCCTTTAAATCCAGTTGTATACATGTTTATCACAACAAACAAATGTGTTGTCCAAATTAAATGGACTAATTTTATTTACATAGAAACAGTCCCTCGACTCACAATCTTGTAATTTAATCCCAGATCCACCACTTCACTATGCAATGCTGAGCAAGAGACCTAACTACTCTAAGCCTCCATTTCCTTGGCTATAAATCGGGGAGCCCCTAGGTAATGCAAACAGTTAAGCACTCGATTACTAGCTGAAAGGCTGGCGGTTCAAGCCCACCCAGTGGCACCTTGGAATCCAGGCCTGGCAATCCACTTCCGAAATGTCACAGTCTTGAAAACTCTGTGGGGCAGTTCTACTCTTCACACATGCACTGGCTATGAGCTGGACTCGACTCAGTGACAACTAACAACCACGTGAACTAGAAATGACAATATTTAGCTTGCAGAATTGTTGTGAGAATGACAGATTAAAATAGAAGTCTAACATGGAGTGCAGCACAGTATTCCCTCACACCATCACTAAATGATTATCGTCATCAAGTAAAATTCACCCAATTCTACATCCCTGTAGCATATTTGAAGGAGCCCTAGTGGTGTAGTGGTTAAGTGCTCGACTGCTAACTGAAAGACAGGCAGTTCGAACCAACCAGGTGCTCCGCAGGGAAAAGATGTGGCAGTCTGCTTGCTTCCATAAAGATTACAGCCTTGGAAACCCTATGGGGCAGTTCTACTCTGTCCTATAGGGTCGCTATGAGTCAGAATCGACTGGACAACAATGAGTAATGGGTAGCAAATTTTAAGGCAAATATCCCAAGGCTAGAAAAAGGGCAAAGGAAAAAAAAAAGTAGGTGATGTGGATAAAGTAGAGAACAAGCAGAAGAAAATAAGAAGCAACCAACTCCCAAAAAGATTGGTCTTCCAAGGTGTTTAATAAAAAATAAAAATCAACCTACTAGACTCATATAATTGGAAAATAGAAATTTTACTCAGTTACTCGTATAGCTAGCAAACCTTAAAAGCTATTGTAAGTACTTACAGAAAATGATTAAATTGGAGTTCTGAGTGAAAATGAAATAATGAAGAGAAGATACATATTTTAAAATTGAACTCAGGCACCAACTGGAAAATGTAAGAGATGAGTTAGTCAAGGCTCAAGGGCCCCATTAACTTAAGCATACTATCCATATCAACCACAAAATCACTGCCCACTTTTAAGTGAATGAAGCTCTTTCTTAAGTACTACTTTTCCAGTTATCCCTTCCAGACCACACACTTAAACGTGCAGACGCAATGAGAAAATAAAAATTTACTTACAGTCTGGTCCTTCCAAGTTTAGATAGGGGATATCCATGACCCTCATAAGAAATAACCTATGAAAAGAGAAGAAAAGCAAGCACTGGGTGATTTGGAAAGAGGGAAATGGATCTAGGTGTGTATTAAAATTTTTAGTAGAAGTTTCTTGGTTATATTACTTTATTTCTAAAATCATTTTAAAAGCACTGAAGATTCACTTTACAGACTTTTCTGTTGGCTAAATACCTTTCCTAAATAAAAAAGAATACTCTGTATCCCCAACACCTACAGCAGTTTCTGGCACTCAGTAGCTGCTCAATAAATATTAGCTAAATGGATGAAGTTAGTAATCAAAGAGCCGAAAGAAGATCCTGTGCAGAGCTGCCTTATTAATTAGTCTAAGGAAGCTGAGAGAAGACAAATATTACAGAATACTAGCCATTTCCCAGACTTTTAGGTGAACAGCACAGTCTCAAATAAGTGACTGTCTCAAAACCCCATATAATTAGTGTCACTTAAACAACGTATTAAAAGCACAAAACAATCCTTGGTAAAGAAAACTATCATGCTGACATAAACCACACTAAAAAAACCCACTGCCATCGAGTCGATTCCGACTCAAAGCAACCCTATAGGACAGAGTAGAACTGCCCCATAGGGCTTCCAAATAGAATGGCTAGTGGATTCGAACTGCTGACTTTTTGATTAGCAGTTGAATGCTTAACCACTGCGCCACCAGGGCTCCAATATAAACCACAGCAGTCATTTTATGTATTCTTTCCAAAATGGATAGAAAGGCACAAAAAAACATTACTTATAAATTATAACTCTGTGCAATACCATTCAATTTCCTTTTACTTCCCAAGATTATAGACAAAACAGGCATTCTGTTGTTTGTAAGATGAGTTTTTACTTAGATAACAACATATTGTGCATTTCTAGTACACAGTACTACATTATACAGTAAATTAAAAAGGCAATCCAAGTGCCCAAACAAGCAATCTGTTTAGCTTCACTGACCCGCAATTAAGCCGTATTATTATCAGGCATTCAAAAGCCAAGCAGGGCATGATCTAGTTTACAAATGGAACCGTCAGCATGAATAACACTGTTCTGTTAGTGCCAGAAAAAACGAAGTCATGGTACTCTGTGGTTTGAGAACTTGTTGCCTAGTCTACAATTTAATAAACCAAATCCTATGGCTAAGAAACCAAACTTATTTTTAGTTCACTAATTTAGGCTCAGTGCACTATTCTGACTTTGTAAGCTGTTTTACCCACTTTACTCAATATTACCTGCAATCCCAGAAGACAATACTATATATATAAAGTACCTAGCAGAAAGTAGGTTCTCAATGATGGTAGCTATTATTCTTGTTGCCAATCACAACCAGGAAAGTTATTCTTGGGTTTAAAAAAAAAGAAAAAAAAAAAACCATTGCAGCCAAGTCGATTCCAACTCTTAGCAACCGTACAGGACAGAGGAGAACTGCTCCATAGGGTTTCCAAGGCTGTAATCTTTAGGAAAGCAGACTGCTACATCTTTCTACTGTGGAATGGCTGATGGGTTCAAACCACAGACCTTTTTATTAGTAGCTGAGTGCTTAACCACTGAGCCAACAAGTCTCCTTATTCTTGGGTTAGGAGGCTCAATATTGTTATGCTTCATAGAATTTTCAATTCTCCATTTAGTAAATTAAGAAATGGCCCTCAAATTCTAAAAAACCAAACCAAAAAATTCATTTAAAAACTAATGGAATGTATCAAGTGCCATAAAATAATTAAAACTTTTTTTCTCTAATTTCAACAGAATAGAGGTAGAACCTACAAGATGTTCATTGCTCTACTGTCAATTACACTAAAAATCAATCTCAGTATTTAATAATGTTGGGTGAGTAAATACAGTTCATCATTTCAACAAATTATTATATAATTGAAATAACTATGAAAGCTTCAAAACATAAATTATGATATAATTCTGTTTTAAAAAAGCACAGAACTTTATGATTACATCTTTGTACGATACTTCTTGTTAAACCAGGAGTAAAAAATAAAATCCTCCCCCAGCACCAAAAAAAACAAAAAAATAAAGGCAATTGTTTTGTTAAACTGTGAGCTTTGTTTTTAAAAATTCCTTTTACTATTATTTGTTTTAAGTTAAAAAAGAGAAGAAAGGTTACCAGAAGTGAGAGGCCCAGGGGAATAACAAGAGCCCTTTCTTAGAGGAAGCACAACTGAAAATGCCAGCTGAGTTAATCTTGTGTATCCTATAAACTGTGTCCCCTGGCTGTGGGGAAATGGAATGAATATAAAAATCATTAGTTTGAGTCTGTAATTTACTTCTTCGTCAAATTTTATTTCTAAAATCATGGGCCCTCAGTAAGGAGTTCAGAAAACCTACTGTCCCATGTAAACAAAGATTAACACCTAAAAAGAAAAAAGGGGACCTCCCCAACTGATCTCACCATGTAAATGTTTACAAAAAAATTTTTTGACTATTTTTTGTTAAGCAATATATACAGGCTATTTGTTTTCCAATATTTCATTTGAATTTTAAATATTATATCTGATTAGCATAAGTAAAAATTCATTCTCAGCCAAAACACCCAAAAGACTAAAGAGAAAAAGTTAATCCATACTATCTTGCCTGTTTATACAAAACTTTAAATAGAAACCTGTTTCAAATAAACAATTTTTTAATAATTTATTTTTGTTGTTGTTAACATACACCAATTCAACAGTATCTACATGTACAATTCAGTGACACTGAGTACATTCTTGGAGTTGTGCAGCCATCTCACCACCCTTTCCAGAGTTGTTCCTCCCCTATTAACATAAACTCACTGCCCCCTACGGTTCCTATCTATCAAATGAACTATTAATAGCACTTCCCATTCTTCCCCTAGGTCTCCAACTTCAAGTCCAGACTTCAGAAAGACTGAATAGCCCCAAACTCTGGAAGAACACAAAAACCAACTGTGTGTGTGACTTGGCCAACTATGCCTCTGGAGAGGGGCTGCAATTGTGAAACCACCCCCAAAATCTGTGGCTAAGCATTTGCCTAACTGAACCAGAGTAAACTCTGCTGGTGGCCTCCCACCGTCCTTATGCCATACTGTTGCAAGCCACTGTTCTGGAAACATCCCTGACCTTTGAAAATAAAATGAAAACATTTCATTGCCTGCATGCCTCATACAAACTGGCTGTCATGGGCCTACACCGTCTCCCTGGAACGATATGATAAAGTACTTCACATACAGATCACTTGACAGTTTTCAAGAAATGCACTAGGCAAGCAGAAATGTTGATAAACACATGAAAGGATGTTCCTTCACTGTGAACTATATTAAAGAATGATCTCTCCCAGAAGGCCATTCATCTGCATATATCAAAAAAGACACTCACTTAGGCCAACACTTGCATGAAACGTTACTTCTATTTTAGTGAAGATTCAAATGGCTATAATATGATAAAGACACCCCAGATTGTGTGCAGAAGTCTTGCCACACCTCTTTAAGCTTTCTGATGAAATAGCGTTTTGGCACTTCACTCTAAAGGACTGACATTACCTCTGCCAAAGACTAAATTTAAAATTCCCATTTGATACAACGGCCGATGGCACAACCAGGATTCTAGTCTAAGAAATTGTGTAATTACATGGATAAGCCTTGATGACATTATGCTGAGTGAAATAAGTCAATCACAAAAAGACAAATATTGTATGATTCCCCACTTACACGAAGTAGGCAAATGTACAAAACTAAAGCTTATTAGCGGTTTGCAGGGGTGAGAGTACGGACAAAAGGAGGATCACTGCTTAGAGGGCACTGAGTTCATGTTAATAGTGGTCGAATCATTTGGAAAAGGACAGTGGTAACAGCTGCACAACATGATGAACATAATGCCACTGAATTATACACACACAGATTGTTGAACTGCCAAATGTTTTGTTATACATACATTTTATGACAATTTAAAAAAACCAACACTAAACAACTAATTTTAAAAGCTGTGTAACTAAAGGTCACATTCTAGGTGTCATAAAATATATTTACTCTTTATGGTATATATCATTTTTTTAATGTTCTAAGATTACAGGTCTGGTGATGCTGCTTATCCTAGCTTTCAAACATGTCTGGAAACATCTAAGGGTGAATGAAGCACACCATACTCCAGGGTCTTTTGCTCAGCACAGTGAACTTCCGTTCAGCCTCTGAACCACATAGGCCACACAATGCCTTTATTTCCAAAGAGCTACCCCGTCTCTGCTACCCATATGCTATACGGCACTCACAAAAAGTCATCCTCCAAACTTCACTCTGCAGCCAGGCAGTATGACAACGTAATGCAGACTGTGTAAGAAGGCTTGCTAGTCACTGAAGAATCATTTGAGGCATAAAACTCCGAATTTAGGAGTATAGAACCGTAAGCCCTTCAGATGAGTTCTTCCACATGCCCATTTCCTAAAAGGAAATTTTAAAGAGGTCCTCATGCTAATGTCTATCAGTTAAACATTTTAATTTTCAATTTTTCAGTCTATTGCTGATAAATAATCCAAGTAATGGTTGGGATGATGGAAGGTAGTGGTTCTCAGCCCAAGAAGCACACTGAGGAGCTTTAAAAAAACCTTGGTGCTTAGGCAGCACTCCAGACCAATTAAATCAGAATGTCTAGGGGTGAGGGCGGACATCAGCCCATTTTTAAAGATTCCCAGGTGATCCCAATGTGCAGCCAGAGTTGAGAACTCCTACTCTAAGTATTAGGAGCCCTGGTGGCACAGTGGTTAAGTGCTCGGCTGCTAACCAGAACGTAGGCGGTTCAAACCCCAGCTGCCCCGCAGGAGAAAAGACCTCCAGTAAAGACTACAGTGTTGGCAACCCTATCGGCAGTTCTACCCTGTCCTATAGGGTCGCTATGAGTCGGAATCGACTCAAGAGCAATGGGTTAGTCTAAGAATTCTGTTGATTTCCACACCTGTTGGCCAACTGGTTAAGAGCAGAAGTTCCCAAGGTGTGGTTCCCCAGACCAGCATCACCTGTGAGCTTCTAAAAATGAAAATTTTCAGGCCCCACCATGAC